AAAACATAAATAGCATTATTTGGTATTATCCTGTAATAATATATTCTTTGTTTAACATTTTTGTTTTTACTTTTTAAAAATGTATTTGTACTGGACATTTTGGATCAAGAGTTAACACATAAGAAAGAAAGAAAACTAAACAGAGATGAACATGTCTGTGTTATTACACGTGTCAAAATACGGTTGAAAGTAGAAAAAAAGAATATTTTCTGTAATGCAAACCATCTTATAGTTATACTGGATTTGATAACTACAGAATATGACATAAGCAAAGTCATAAAGTATAAACAAATGTTTATTTAGCTCATTTACATGGAGTGAAAGAAATATCTTGAACATAAAAGAATCAAATATAAAAGGATCATCTGAATGACTTCCACACAGAAGAATGTGATTTTGTGTAAAATGAAACACAAAAGACAAGTCAAGTATCTCTGTGTATCTCTGTGACTACACTCAAACATGTGTAATGTCACATTTCTTCTTTAGTATTGCACTGGCAAGTTTTCATATCTTTGTCACATTTGAGTCACGTGGAATAAAAACCTTAAGATTAAAAGTCCCGTTCTGACTTTCTGAGTCATCGTCAATAATTTACATTTACATTTTATCACATTAATTTATGTGGCCGCAAATTAAGTAAATGAAAACACAAAGTAGCCTACATGTTCACATCTATCTTAATTTAAATATTTAAAAAGGAAGTGATCTTTAGTCACACTGTGGGCATAAATATGTAAAGATGGGTTACAAATTAAAAGATGGTGGGCAGGTCCAGTTGATTTCGCTTTTGCATGAAGAAGAAAGGAAGCTTTGGTCGCTGAGACTGCTCGACTCGCTGGTGTTTCACAGGGAACAGTGACTAAAGTGACATCTGCATTTAGCCGAGTGGGAAAACAAATCAGTGGGTAGGTTTAAAAACAACAACTGATGGCGCATATTTGATGTGTGCAAGACAAACGGAGCGACTCTTCCTCAGGTGGCAGAGTGTCAGCGATCTGACGACATCAGCATAACAATCCATCATCAGCTACACAGACAGAGATGCTGCTGTGGTTTGTATCAAAATGAATGCACAGCTGAACTTTTTGTGGACAAACCCACTAAAGCACTATTTGTCAGAAACGTGGAAATAAGTGCCATGGCCGGATGAGTCATCCTTGATCCCATTCTCATGTCTGGCATCAAAAACCGGTACAGGCCTGAATGCTAGAACCCCACAGCGAGGGGATTTAGTGATTTTATGTTGTGACGGGCATTTCAACCTCACGCCTAATGGTCCACTCATCCCTACTTAGAGGAAAATCTTGCTGCAAGCCAGCGCACCACCTTCAATCGCTTAATGAAACATGTCTATCCAGATGTGATTACAATCCCCCTGTCTACAGGACACGAGGGTTCAAAGTCTCCAAATCTCAGCCTGCTCAAACACATATTTTGGACCAATGTGTGAGACAGACAGACACCTGACAACTGGCAGTCAATTAACTTACTAAGATTCATAACTTTGTGTTGGGTTTTCCTGTCATTTCTAACCCATCTGTATATGCCACACTTTTTGGGAAACACCCAGAAATTAAGTGATTCATGTTATACTCTCACTTCACTACAAAAGTGAAACGCCTACACCAAACACTGCCTGAAGCTTGTAGCATTTACAAAAATTAAAAATATTAATAAAACAAAGAAGACCAATAAACAATAATTTATATGTATATATTAAAAACAACCTATAAGACCATTTAAGGCTTTATAAAAGTCCTTAATTGTTCACAAGCACGTTATTCAACCCCCACCCACTAGGTGGCAGTGTTCCCCAATTTATATAAAACCTGCAGGAAGGATCACTTAGTTTTACTGACCATCCAGAGCAGACAGTGTTCAGGAGTTATTCACAGAAGGCACGCAGTTCACAGTCAACTTAAAGCTCAAAATTTTAGGCTCCACGTTTTCTTCTGGAGAGCGCTGAAAAGCACCTTACAGTACAGATGGATGCTGCAGGAAGTGTCCGACTCTCCACTTCAACAGTGAAGATGCGCAGACAAAACAGTTTCTGTTCTGTTGAGTCCTTAAAAACAAAGTCCTCACATCTTGTCATTAAAAGGAGAAGCTTTAGATTTTGGTAACCACGTGTTTGTTTTCTAGGTGTGAGTTAGATGACAAGACAGACTTAAGCCTGCATTAGCCTAGTGCAAAGACTGGAAATGCAGGTAAAAGAGAACTAGACAGACCCAACCAAAAGATGAACAAAAAAACCTTTTTTTTTTTACAGGTCAGCATAACCCAACAAGACAGGGAGGGATTTTCCCGGGTAGACCATCTCAATAGTTCTCAGCAAGACAGCAAACAGGAGCATTTCACAGCAATCCGCTTAAAGCATAAAGTTCAGATCAGCTGGGTTCACCAGCTCCGATTGCACAGAGAGCCACCGTAATTCAGCTGCTGACTCCAGCATTCAAGTCTTCTTAGTGTTCGAGTTTTGCTGCAGTTTCTGCTTGCGGAGGTGAGCTTCAATCTCGTGCCTGAAGAAGAGCATCCCCAGCTGGCCGTGCGAGGCCTCGTTCATGGCCTTGGACTGCATGCACATGCGGTACTGGTCGGGCGGGAGCTCGTCGGCGCAGTGCTTCTCGTGCCACAGGTGGAACAAACCTCGCGACGGCGCTCGAACCACCAGAAGGTTGCTGTGGAGGTACTTCCTGTAGAGGTGAACATCTTCGCCGCCCCAGCCTTTGATGTCGATGTCAAAACCTCCTGGGCAGAACAGAAGGAGAGCGTGCGATAGGAAACTTTCTGCATTTTTTTTAAAAATTTTATTTTATTTTTACAACTTTCTAAACATTTTTTTAGTTCCAGAGTTTTTGGATGCTGATTATGAAATCTGATTAGAGTTTGTGGTGTGTGATCATAACCACGGCCTTGTTTTGTTGTTTCTTGTGGGGACAGAAAAGACATTTGGACTTTGTGACCAGGCAATCTTAAACCTGTCACATTAGACGCCAGAACTCCTCGTGCCTGCTTTCAGTTGCACTTTGTACCTCCCTGCAGTTTTATTTTGTTTATGCCGTCTTTCCCTGTCTGCCTTATTTTGTTATTTTGCATTTTTTTGTTTTAAATTCAAGCTGCAGGGGCAAACACAGATAAGACACAACGTTTGCACAAATGGATGCATTGTGCTTGTTTCTGAATGTGCACTCGTGGCCTAAAAAAAACAAAAGGACATCCTTATGATGAAACAAAGAGTGCAAACATGAACCACTAAATTATGCTTTTATAAAGAAATACGTTTGGGGAGACACATAATTTCATTTCACATCAAGAGTTCGGTGAGAAAGGAAACTGTGGACGCTAATCGTGTTTAGCTCTCGCACGTGTTTCGTTGTTCCCCGTCTCATTTTAAAGATTCCTTTAGAAATCTGTGACACAAACACAGAAGCAGACCCACTTACCACATTATTTGTTTCTCTCACCCACTTTACAGCTGAGTGGAAATAATTAGGATGTAATTGTTTTTCTCAGTTTGTTGTTGTTGTTGTTTACCCAGATGGAAATCCTCTTTCCACCCATCTCATGCTCTTTGGATTAAAGCTGTTTTTTAAATGAATGAAATTGGAAATAAAACTTTATCAGTCTACAAAGACGTTACATGCATTCCTTCTTTTCCTAAGAGATTTACCGGTAGTTCTCCCTCTGCTGTTACTGCAGATTACTGCAACTTCTGCATGCATGTACATTTACGTTTTAGAGATCCAAAGGGGGAAATGGACACGGCGGACCAGCGTGTCTGTTACACGCTTTGCCTTGATGCGTGTGGTTGGACTGGTTTCATTAACGTGACATTCAGTTCGGTGCCTCCACAGTCACTTGATCTCCATCCAGTCAACAACTTTCAGGACGTGACAGAATGGGAGATTCCCCATCATGGATGTGCAGCCGAAAAGTCTGCACCAAATGTGTGATGCTATCATGTCAACACGGACCAAAATCTCTGAGGAATGTTTCCAGCACCTTCTTGAATCTGTGCCAGGAAGAAGAAAGGCAGTTCAGATGGAAAAAAGGGTGCCCAACCTGATACTAACAAGGAGTGCCTAATAACATGGCTAATGAGTGTATTTACATCCTTATAATGACAATAATGATGCGACAAACATCGATTTCTGCACCACCATAATGTGACTAAAGGTCTCATCCTTGCCCCTCCTCTAAAAAACTGCCTGGCTCCACCGCTGAATGATTAAACAGCTGGCCTCTGTTTATGTAAAATAATCTGCCAACTTGCCATGCATCAATTAAACTCTTTTAAACTTTTTTTTTTTTTTTTACTGCATATTTATCTTTATATTGTGTTAGTTAATCATCTCTCAGCAGAGCCAGGCTAGCTGTTCATTCTGTTTCTAATGTCTTCTGTGTTTTTTTCTTTAGATCCCATTTAGTTTTCAGCTCTGGGATCGATACGCGCTCATAAATAAATACATGAAGTGGAATACAACTTGGAACATAAAGTGAGTTAACATTACTATTTCCCCATAATGCCAAACTATCCTTTTACAACACTCCTGGCCTTGGAGCTGTGTTTTACAATTTGGCATAGTTAAGTGAGGACATTTGCATGAATGTGTGTGCATGTGTGTGGGCCCTAAACAATAAAGCACTCAGAGTTCCACAGTAGCCTCTAATTGATTTCACTTTGGAGGCAAACTAAATTGATGTAAATCTGTCTACAGAGCCAATATTCCTTGCCAGATATACAGATGGAGAGGACACGGGGCGATGAGATATGCTAATATATGCTGCTGCAGCTCAGAGCTGTTTCACGCAGAGTGATATAATAAAATCTCCTCCCTGTTAAGAAAAGTAATGCGATACTGAACCATTTGGGCCGTGAGGGTTTTTTTTTTTTACATCCATTAAGCGGTGGCGCCGTTAAGAGTGGCAAAGTGCACATTTTCAGAGGACCATTTTCGCCCTGCGTTACGTAACACCTGCACACTGATAATCAGCCCCCAGGAGCAACTGTTTACCAATTCCTCGCTGCAAAGATGCGCCGATGGGCACGATGCCCGTGTCAGGATTGTAAATAACCGTCATATTTACCGATGTTGAGGAAGTCGGACCTGTACTGGCAGGTCATGCCGAAACCGAAATCCCTCCAGAAGCCCGTGTCTTTCTTGATCACCTACAGGAGGAAATAAGCGAGCGTTAAACAGCGTGTGGAAAGAAATACTAGTCCAACACACAGGATTTGTCCACTTATAGCAACTGGAGAGGTGAAGTGTTTTTAAACTGTTCTGCAATGCAGCGCCACGCTGAGTGTGGTATTTTCCACAAGTGCGTGGCAGGGTTTGAAAAAGGGATGAAAAGAAGGTGTGTGTATGTGTGTGTGTGTGTGTGTTACCAGCTGTTGTTCTACTGCTGGGATACGATCGGGACTTCCATAGATCACACTGGGGTTGTACTGGCTGAATAACACCGGGTAGAAGACCTTTTTACCTGAGATGCAGAAAAAAAGAACTGTTAGATGAATCAGCTGTAATCTGATGGGAATGTGTGCATTACTACTACACAATAGAAAATAAGAAGAAAACTTAACAGGCCCACTCAACTCAGCCTGAGATAACTGAAAATCCAATTATAAAAATCTGTCACCAGGGTTGTTACAAATACCCAGAGTTGGCATTTTGTCTTGTCATTAAAGTGTTTTGCACGCCGCATGCCTCATGGGAGTTTACAGCAGTCATCTCACCAGGCTGTGCATTGAGTCGGCAGGTGTTGAGGAAGTCGGCGGTGAAGTAGATGTCCACGTCGCAGAAGAAAAGTAACACGTTGCCTCCCTTCCAAGCTCGGGCGCCGATGTCCAGACCCCGCCCCCGAGAGAACTCCTCATCCAGCTGCATCAGCGTGTAGTTCTTAAAATTTGCTTCCCTTTAGAAAGGCAAAGAGAAGTAGTTTGGGTAGTTTAGCCAACTTTAGAAGCACTTTAGAAGCTAGAAAAAAAGCCTCACAATTTAATGAATTAATAGGAAAGAAAGTTGAATTCCAGTGAAATAACAAACAGCATGGTATTATCTGCAAGCACTGTTGTTTATTTTGCCTTCAAAAATCATATCAATCTAAAGCAGCAGACTCATTAAGAGAGGTTAAGAAGAAAGTGCAGGCAGGGTGGAGTGGGCAGACATGAATGTCAGGAGTGATTTGCAACAGAAGGAAAGCAGCAAGATTTACAAGACGGTAGTGAGACCTGCTATAATGTATGTTCTGTAGACGGAGGCACCGACACAAAGAAGAAGAGCCTACAAAAATCATATTCACTCAACTTTGCTTGCTTCACATTTTGTCCCCAGTTATCCTCATGCCACAATTTACCCACTACAGAAGCAGAACTTACTTCTCTTATTGATTGCACTCAAATAAATACAGTTTTTAATGATTTCATCTGAACAAATGTAGTTTATGAGCATCTGTAATCACTCATCTGCCTGCTTGCCTGGATGTTGGGCTGCGAGTCTATTCTTCAAGTCACTTTCACTTTCCCACGGCATCAAACTCAGTGCTGACATCATCGCATCATTCATGCAACCTGCTTCCTCCCCATCACTGCCTCACCCCGGTAACAGAGCTCCATCCAAGCCTCCATCTTCATCTTCACCACTAGTGTCTAAATTCGGGTGGGTCCTGTCATTATTCCTATCACCTCTGACAATCCGTTCTCCCACGATGGGTCATCGGAGTCTAATCACTAAACAGCTTAATTAAATCCCACATCTCAATAAGTCATGTTCAATTCTTCCAAATGCTTTCCCCTTATATCGAAATGAAACTGTTCTTGCGGCATAATTTGAAGGCCATCTTTTGTATCAGTTCTCTTAATCGCTTCTCTGGTTCAGGTCCGGTCACCGGTCTAATGCAGGCTAACATATAGAGACATAAAATCTTTCACACCTGCAGCCAATTTAAAATCACCAGTTATCCCAACATGCATGTCTTTAGACAATGAGGGGAAGCCGGAGTACCCAATGCAAACCCGTGAAAGGTGCAGGAGAACAGAAAGGCCACAGCCGGCCAGTGGATTCAAAGACAGGAGCTACTTGCTATGAGGTGAGGCTGCACTACTACCACTGCAGTGGTGTCAGACATTTTCTATACATTATTATATAACATATGGCAGATCTTTCCTATGTTTGCAGATTCTGTGCTCCATATATGACTCTGTTTTATCTACATACCACATATTAAGCATTAATTGCCGTATTTATGCTGCTGAATAAATTCTAGCTGTAGGGCTCTGCTGTTGATTGAGTAATTTTTCTAGCACACTTTAATTTCCCCTCACAAAACATTACTGTGCTGCAACTGTGTTTCTAATTTATGATTTCTACTTAGCTGAATTGTGTTTAAATCTTACTTGGTGGTAATGAACTTTGGTAATGGTGATTTGACTGTTTGATATGCAGCCACTTTAACACTGAAATATAGCGCAGCTCCCACATTTTTCACAAATCTTGAGAGCTCATCTCGCTGAAGGGCCCTGCGCCACAATTCAGCTTAACCAACTTTAGAATTTCTAATCCTCTGATTTCTGCTTTTTGAACGTTCCACCCAGAGATTAAACATGATGACACACAAAAGTGCACATCAGCTCAAATTCCCACTCTTTTTACTCCGCTTCATGGGAAACTCAGCTGGTTCTGTCACTGGCCACTGAGTTGTTCAAGGCTGAAGCACGAGTGAAGAGAAACAGCTGGATCCAGATGTACACAGCTGCAGCTTTTCTTTAAGCATAACAATTTACACTGTTTGTGACTAATCCGTTCCTCATGTATGCGCATTCACAGACTCAGACAAAAACACACACACAACTGCATGGGCTTTGAATAAAGGATGAATAAGAAAGGGAAAAAAAAACAAAACAGTTCGCATATCTCAGTGTGAAGCAGAACAAACTGCATCCATCACCCTCCTTCATCCATGCGATGCTGGGAAACACGCTATGTCAAGGACAATCTGGATGACCAGAAGAAACATTTGGCCTGAGGTGGTTTGAATCATACTCCCCACATTTCCAAATCCCCGCTGTGCGAGTGTGTCACGTTTGCAACAATGTTCAGTGTGTGAAATTGATTCATGTATATTGCTGTGTAAAGCTTTTGTCTCGCTCCCTTCCGTTCAGCCTCCCCCATAAATAAGACATGAAACCCTCTGGTCCCCAGTGGCTCTAAATTCAAAAGAAACAAAAACATGACACCAGTAATGAGACTTTTTTATATAGTCTGAAAAACCACTTCTGCCTGTCATTTAAAGACACAGACAAAAAAAAAAAAAGCTTTCACATCCCTGAACTGTCATAACTTTAGAAAATCTGCAAAATGTTCATATACAGGTAAAAATATCTGGATGTCTGCGCTAACCTGCCCGCTCTGTGCTGTCAGTGCACGGAGCCTGGCCTCCACATCTACATCTCGAGTCTAAAAACTCAAGCCGAGTCAGTCTGTTTCACCGTCTACACACAAGAGTCCCCGCGGACCCACCCGCTGGCACTAAACCGTCCACAGATGGCAGAGACGGAGAACAATAGCTCTGTTTGTCTTAAACAATGTTAACGCAACAGGAGCTTTATTCACATGTTGATTCAGGCTTTACTTTAATGGGAGACGAGCTTCCCATCGGCTCAGTCTGCAAATACATCATGATTTCTCGCAAACAAACCAGAACGCACAGTAACGTCGAGAATTTATGTGAAGTTGCCGGACGTCCTTCTGCTCTTTGTTTCGTGTCTTTAGTTTTAAAGCTGTAGTTTATCCCTGTTTGCTAGGAAATCCACTCAGAACAACTAAAGTCATTTTCGCATTGAAGATTTTAAAAGAATGAAACAAAAACTGGGATCATCATTTCAGAATGAACAAACAATATAGAAGGCGTGAACATTACAGATACCATTTTTAAGGACGTTTGGACAGAGACGTGGAGCTAGACGTTTTCCCCAGTTTCCAGTATTTATGCCAAACTAAGCTAAACTACTGTGAGGACTTGTAAAGTTAGTGGTACCACTAACTACATACCTGCTACCAAGAAGATGTCAGATGCCCGACTATTTCTTTAAAACTGATTTTAGATGTCAGATTGGTCCATTGGTGTAGTGGTTGACACTTTGGTTGTACATGTGAAAGGTCCCTTGACTAGAAGGAGACACAAACCCAGCATTAGTGGGCCACAAGCTAGTTCACTTCTACTGCTGGTCCCAAGCCCAGATGAAAACGGGAGCGCTGCATCTGGAAAATCTGTGCCAAATCAAACATGCGGATCCATCCCTTGGGAGGTTAAGGAGCAGCTTAAAATACGCCTAAAAAAACTTTTACTTTTGGACAGAGCCAGGCTGCCTCGCCCTTGTTTCCAGTCTTTATGCTAATCTAGCTGCTTAGTGTGTTTAATTTTTACAGAGACATTTAGCTTAGTCAGAATATCCTGATTACTAATATTATTCAGGAACAAAATGCTACCGTCTCCACTTGTTTCCAGGAGTTTGTCTCTTGCTCAATCCTATAGGCATGCGGTATAAGTGTTCCTTCTGGTCCACGAGTGGGTGGTGCTTTTAAAAATATTTCCACAATCAAGTACATGGTAGAGGTATGTTTGTGGGCGGGGGGATAACGGACTTGATTGCATTTCCTTTTCTGGAGTGACTGACAAAAAGCTTGGATGAGGCAGCCTGTGAGGGCCCTTCAACAGGGAACTTGAGTTAATTTATTTGTAATATAATCAACGTTATTGTCTTGTAATTTGATACTGGAGTAAGAGGTTTATTTTCAAGGCATTTTGCTGTTCATTATCTTCTTTTAATCAGTTGTGATTTTCATGGCTTGTTCTTTGGTTCATTTTAATAACAGTTCATCCAGGGATACACTTTTACTGGCTAAGTAAGTGTGTGTGCGTGTTTTATAAAAATCTTGTCATGCATATTTTATTTAATATTAGACATCAAGAGTTTGTATATTGAATGAGTGCCATTACTTAACATACCACTGCTAAAATGCTTCCTGGCTCGAATAGGAAAAGATGACGCTGACTATAAAGCGGTTTTCTAGGCTTGCAAAGCAGTGGGTGATGCCGCTGCCTGCTACGTCGCTCTTAATACAGAATCTAAGCTTTGCTTCAAGTGATTTTCCTCTCTGAATAATGCTTCCACACATTTATGTGTATTTGTGTCTCATGACTGCAAGTCCAGAAATATGAGCATAGACCCCACATTTGTGTGTCAACTTAATCCAAAAATAAATCCTTGTTTTCTAAATTACTTTTTATATCTGCTCTTTTTCTCCCTTCCTACCCACAGGCATCAGCCTCCTCCTCCCAACACACACACTTTTATGATCTAAAATAGTCAATTTGTTTACTGTAGGCGTGATGGTACCTAATGGTACTTAGTAGGAGTGAAATTGTTGAAATTGTGTCAGATTGAGTGAATCTGTAAAGAGCTTCCCTGTTGTGTCTAAGCAGCAGGTCTGATCCTGTTAGTTCTGCTCAGTCAGGACAGGGAGGGGAGGACTGACTGCAAATATGGTGCATCTAATATGAGGCCATATACACATTTCTCTTCATTTTCAACACTTCTTGAAGATATCACAGAAGCAAGCTTGCAATTTAGTCATGCGGTATATGTCTGAATGATTTGCCAAAGTGTAACCCCATTTCTTTGGACTATGGGAGGAAGCCAGAGTAATCAGAAGGAATCCATAAAGAGAATACACAGACTGGATTAGAATCCAGGATTTTATTTTTTTAATGACTAACCAAAGTTGGCACTCTATTTAATATCACATCAGGCTGACAAATAAACAGCCTAATCAAAATAAATAGCTAGTGCTAGTCAATCTGTTAGCTGTGACGCTGTTAGCGTGATACCATGAAAGAGTTGTTTGACATATTGGTTGTTGGATGCTGCTAGATTACATCTGTCCCCTGCATTAAAAGCCTCAGTCGATAGTAGTTTACATAGAAGATGTTGACCTGTCTGCAAACTAATTCTAACTACTAGCCGTGCAGTGGCAAAACTTGACACAAACCGGACATGGAAAACATCCTTAAAAGCAAAAGCTGTGCTAACATGTTTCAAGAGGCACAAGTTTTACTTTGAAGGAATAGGGTCTCCTGTGGGTTTCCAGTTTGAGTCGGACTTTTCACAGTTTCACTCCAGCTTGGATAGTAGCCAAGTGTTTCCGGACAAGTTGGCGCCTTTCATGCAAACTACGGGACACAATCTGCTAGCTACCAAAGCAGTTGCTAGGAAGTCTTGGTCAACGAGTTAATAAAAGGCAAAAAAGAATATGTGCATATTTGTAGGAAATACATATTCTTAGTAATGTGCATTTTTTTTCCAACATTTGCCAATTGGCTGCAGGCGAGTCACTCTACACTGTCACGATTGTTGTACGTCCCAAAAGTTACCATCATATGCATCTGCAAAACCTCGCCACCCTCTAATCCAGTTTCTGTAATAACAGATATTTGTTTGATCAAAACAAGCTATATTTGATTAGCTATAAATTGTCCTTAGTGCTGATTTACTAATATTAGCAAAAATAAAGATGTGGAATTGCACCTGCTAAATATTAATATGTGAGCATTTAGCATTTAGGCCAGCCTCACAGACTCACTGGTACAACTGTAGTTTCCACCTAATACATACATAAAAATATAAATAAAAAAGTCAACTTCCACTTACTCAACATCTCTCAAGTGTTTCCTGTATTCAGCAATGCCAGTAGCTGCTTTTTTTTTTCAAATTATGATTTTTTTACGTGCAATAAATTTTAAACGACTCATACTTCATGTCTGGCTGTCTTCTGTTTACAGAGCAGGGGGTGGCATGCATAACCTCTCTGGATGCTTGTTCTTTATGGCGAGCAGGGGAATCAGCAGTCCACGCATGTAATAAAGGGGTAAGTGCAAACTATAAAAAATGTAGACTCATGATCACTCTCTGACTGAGGCCCTTAGGCAAGACACCTACCAAAGTTAATAATGGTTTTTTCAAAATAGATCTGTATTAAAGGCATCAGATCTCTTCATAATGAATATTGGACAGCTTTCAAACTCATGAGAGATTTGGATATTATTTCATACACTTATAATCTTCTTCCAACTTCTGCTCAACTTTATTTTCGTGCTCACTCAAAGCTCCCAGTGGGTTTTTCTGAGATCGTTAACCCTTCTGTGCAATGAAGTAATGGCACAAATTGCAAAAGGCAAGTTGCTACAAGATAAAGAGAAAGGAATGACAAAGTGATCTCATCCTTTGATGCTTTGTCTCTCCAAATTTCTGGGCCTTTTATCTTTGTGAGATTTTCATGTACAATCCTTGGTGACACCCTTTTTCCATCCCCGGAAAAATCTGTGGTTTGTTCAAGTTCTTTCAGCTCTGATATCTTATCTTTACACCTCTCCTCTTACTTCCTCTCCCTCTGTTTTTCCCTCAGCCTTTGGCTCCCCTCTGCATCTGAAACACAGTAATTATTCATATGTATCGACTGGTATCTCCACAGAACAGATCACTCATTCTTCTCCATCCTTTACACACAATCCGCCCCCCTCTCCGTCTCCATTGGTTTCTGCTCCACTCATGTTGTGTTGAATCATTATCTTCTAGCATGTAAGGCTCGAAAACATACAAGGCCCTGTGGGTTTGAGTCTGAGTTTAGGCTTTGAAGTGTGCATGTGTTAAGAACCACATTTGAAAGCTGCAACTGATTTTCTGTATGTTTAAAAAAAGACAGAATCGCTGGAGAGTAAGGCCCTGCTTTCTGGAACCTTGCTTTTTAATAGCAAATACTTTTATACTGACTTTTAATACGTATACTCTTAAATAATGATCACCTGCAGTAAACAAAAGGTAATAATTTAAACCCTGTAGAGAGGTTGATATGGGCTGAAAAGCTGCCTGAGAGCCCGGACAATTTAGATCTTGTTAGGCTCTTGGGAAATTGGCCTCAAGTAGTTTATATTGGCTGTGGGTAGTCATGTAAATGCTTCCCAAACAAATTTGAGCAGGGACACTGTGCTATTTAAAAGTGGGGAGTGTGACTGCAATGTGATTTAATAGAAAAAACAAAAAAACGCCAAGACAAATAGCTAGAGGTGATATGTGACAAACTAAACCAAGTTATAGTGTTAAATTGAATTTGCTGGAAGTGCAGAATCTTATCAGTCGCTAATGATGCCAACATGCTGCAAACAGATATTGACTTGCTGGCCAATTAAGGCATGTGCTCTGTGTGAACCAGTTTCGTTTTACAGAAACAGCCCTCTGGTCAGTCCTGTCCTTGACTTGGTTTTTAGGGTGGAATCTGGATAAACTGAAGAAAATAAGAAAACGTTGCAGGGTATATAATATAATGTACTTAGAAAGTACTATTGTAAGTCAGAGCTATGTATGTATAAAGGAAAAAATTGATAAAAACAAAAAACGGAAAAATAAAATAAGCATTAGCTCACATTTGGGAGATGTCATTTAGCTTAAAAAAGCTTAGAAGATTTGCGACACCTTGCTCTTTAATTAAATCACTGTATAACTGCACGTATCAGGGCTTAGCTGTGCTTTGTGTTTAGTGAGGAGATGTTAACCCTAAAATGTTAAAGTATGTTGGTTAACATCAAAGCATGCTAGCATCATTAGCATGCTAACATTAATGTTTACCTCATGGTATCAATCTGTCTGTTTGGTTACCTGGTAAATCCTTCTACATTGCCAATTTTTGAGCAACCAAAATAGGAAAAAGGTAAATGTTAAACCCCTGAAGGTTCATTTCTATATCTGATATAGGCAACCATTTACCGAAGGGCTAAAATGGTGCATTTATAGTAATTATGCATCTATAACACTTTATAAAAGCATTGTGTCATTTTGATTTCATGACAAAGTGGCATGACGGTAAGCACTATAGTCTCATAACAAGACTGTGTTGTGTTTGGCTGGCCTTTCTGTGTGCTGTTTACACGTTCTCCCAGTGCCTCGGTTCTCTCTGCACCTTTGCATTTGCATGTTGGGTAAATGTGTGCTTCTAAATTGGCAACAGGTGTGTATGTGAGTGAGAATAGTTGTCTGCCTATGTATAACATCATTTTACTATATTCACTGTATTTATAGACTATATGAAAAGTCTAAAATATAGCTATACAGAATTCATGGTTTACCCATAGATATCACTACATCTATGCAATCATGATGACAGTTATTATACCAGTAATTTATTACACACTTAATGGGGGTGGGCAGTGTTTGGATGATGACTGTACAACAAATACACTTGTTTTTTTAGACAACCAGACAACGACTGGTTGATGTGGTCCCTTAATTACACAGACGTAAATCCATTTTGCACACAATGACTCTTATATTTATCTATTTATTTATATAAACAGGAAGTACCACTGCTATTTCTGACTTTTCTCATAGTGATTAGCTTAACAACTGCACAAACACAGCAAACAATACTGCTGCGTGGCCATGTACTAGTTTATGTAAATTTATCTAATCTTTATAGCTGTACAACAAAAACAAAAACAAAAAAACCCTGACAGTTTTAAAAGCAGTGAGCAGGGTATTATATAGTTAAAGCTAATTTCCAACACCAGTCCATTCATGTACGCTATAAATGGGTGACAACAGTTAAAGTGTCAGATTAGAGCTGGGATGTAATTCTGTCACTATACTTGGCATTTATAGACTCCAGTCCACTTATAAAAAAAGAATAATGCTTAACTCTTAAAAATAAATCATTACCTGCAGCAACACATACAGACGTGCACCTCTCCTTGCAAGCTAAAGAGCAGGTTACATTTGACTGTATCTGTGCATAGTCTGTCTGTGTCAGATCCCAGATACGAGAACAACAAGCCATGATAATTCCCAGTCATTTCAGCCTCAGCCTGAATGTTAGATAAAAGGGAAGAGGAGTGCAGGCTTGATTACACCCAGTGATTCACACCCAGATATGTTTCCACACAGCTCAGGAATACAGTAGAATGAGAAGAGTACAAAGAGACGGAAGTTCAAAGCAGAAAAACTACCGGAAATTCCAGTTTATTTAATGCCATTCTTTCCCAGACTGCACCTTCAGCTCCAACTCTTTTCAATTTCTGTTTTGTACAAACTTTCACTGTCACTTATTTAAGAAGGCTCCCACACTAAAATCAATGAGGCCTCGGGTTAACTGTATGTTTTTTGTGTCTGCCTTTCACATTCACAGGTTCTAAATTTGCCTTCTTTACACTTGATCTGACACTTTGCTTTAAGACCGTGCAATGCTATCTTTTTTTAAATCTCCACGGTTTCCTCTCAGCACGGTGAGACAAAGACACGCTGTGTGATCCCGGTGATAGTCCTACTGATTCAAGGCCACACAAAAACCTTCGAGGCTGGGGAATCGACAAGTGTCACCATAGCAACCCCCTCAGGGAATCTGCGGCGCAGCGGATCTGACTCCCGATTGGGCGACAGCGATCCCTCTCCGAGAGATGTGGGTGTCCGTGCGAGAGGGCAGCAGGATCACAGGCTTGTTGTAATTTATCTGTGCTGGCTGGTAGCTCTCAGCTACCCGGCATGGGTGGCACACTGCTCTATTATTTATCAGACAGATGACTGGCTGTGGCAGAATGGCGAGCCAGGAGGTGTGTGCGCTTTGTGCACCAAGGAAATGTTTATAGGGTAAGAGTTGAAACAGTGGAAACATTTCTACAGCGCGTTCCAAAAGCGGGTACACGGCTGGGGCTGCGTTCACTTCATTACGTAAATTGCATTTCATACTCTTGTGTTGGGAATTATAATTCAAAGACCACTTCTTGGCTCCACTTCCAACCCACCTGGATGTGTTCTCCAGAGTGCTCTGGACTTCGCTCATCTGCTCTATCCCAAAATACACCACCGTCAGATGGACCCGGCCGTCCTGACGCACGCAGACTTCCCTGTACATAAACACAAACATGCAAAGGAAGCGATATTAAGGATGAAAGTGTGTGAGGAGAATGGGATTTGGGGGTGTGCAGGAAGGAAGAGGACATGAGGGGTTTTAAAAATACAGCTTTGGTTGGAGGATCTATCCATGCAGTGCCAAAACACAACAACTGTAATAATGAAGTGAATAGCTGCTTAAGTAGTTCATCATAAGAGCCAAGTATTTTCTGATTTCTGCTTTATAAAGCTGAATTTCTTTGGGCTTTGGCCAGCAGACTGAATACTGGATCTTGGAACCTAAACATTCACTATTTCCTGATGATTTATTCTAAAAAAGGAAATAAAATTTATCGTTTGTATCTGTATTCAAGGCTTTCCCCCCCATTTTGACCCCGTATTAACACACAGAGGAAGCTCTTATTGTGAGTAAAACAGACACCAGGTGGAGATGCCTGAAAGCTCTTTGATGGAGATGTGTCAAATATATCACAAGCACACGCTGCAGATAATTCACCTCTCCCACGAGGTACGCATGCAAATGCGCAGATGTGCACACGCAGTTTGTCAACATCTTCCCCAAAGGGACGTTAGGGCAGGCGATTCATAGCATTCATAGCACACAACATGAGGCAAAAATGCTTGAAAAAAAAAATGTGCGGGGAATATTGAGCCAACATTTTTGCTGCAATTATTGACGCTGTCGCATAAAAGGCCTCTATAAATGTTGGTCTAGAAGTAAATTGGAATAAATTGATTTTTTGTTGGGATCTGATGAGGCAGTCTAATTCTGTGCTGGGGCCAGAGCAGACAAAAACCCATCTCTTAATTATTTGAGTGTGTAAAAAGCAAGAAATCAATTTAAAAATCTGCCTGCATACAAACAAATCTCACAAGCAGGACTTTTTATCTCCATAGTCTTTCCTTTTAATATATTAAGCATATTTTCAAGTCCAACTGTGGACAAAGAACTCATAATAAGCTTGGATTTACCCAATGTTATCTCGAACACACACACACACACACACACACCTTCTCTTACTCAGTGCACTTTTATAATAGATGAGGGTGAAGTGTTTGCTCAGCGACTCCCCAAGTCTTTCAAGTAAGTACACTTCTTGCCGTGCTGTATATCAAGTACCGCTGGTCTGCCAGGGGGGCATTTTAATGGGCTGCAACACTGCCACTAAAATAGGATTTACCATGTAAAAAGAGCTGTGATAAGCAGCAGCAGCAGCAGCACAATAAATCACAGACATTAAGGAAGACATTTCCTCAGCTTTGACGGGCTGCAGGGCTGAACCAAGCATGTTTTGCTCTCAGGTGATTAGATTTGATAGCTGTGAGTGTGAATTATTACGAAAATTACGGAAATGACTCATTTTATTTTCACCTTAGAAAACTCCATTAACCCTGACCCTTTTTCTTAAAGAAAAAAAAAATTTGTTGTGATTTTGACTCATGCGTGCACCCGCTCGGCTCTACGTGTGGTTGAAGCTACAGTGCGGTGTGTTTGAGGTGTTAGTCATACGCGTTAAAAGTGTGTATGAAAATAGATTCCCTATGGTAATGAGGTGACAAAAATGGCTGTGATCACCGAGAACATCTTTATTCATGTTCTGGTCTGAGTCATTTTAAGTCTCTCAGATTTGTTTATATTCAGATTATGCCTACCAGCAGCAAAATAAATTAACTGATAAGACAACGCATGCAGTTTCAAAAATGTTAATTACATGCCCAAAAAAAGTAAAAATAAAATCTCTCTGATGTTAATTTGCTTCCCTCTAATCTCCTCAGCCCCTGTCTCTGTCTGGTTGATCCTTAATTAAAGTTTGAAACTTGGTTTGAATAACACTGAGTATCGCATTTTTCTGAATTAGTAACATGCGATAGAAAGAGCCGCCATGAATAATTTATAGGGGTGCAACTGTCTGTCGACTTTGCAGGTCAAAACATCTAACTCACCTGAAGTTGTGCATGAACTGCTTGAACTTGTCCGTGCGTCGGGAGAGCGGGACGATGATGTTGATGAGCACATTGGTTGTGTCCACCCTCTCGTTTTTCACCTTCAGGAGTGGTCCGAAGGGCCGGAAGAGGACCAGGCGTCTGAATTCATTACTTGACTCCCCTCTGAAGGTCAGCTCGTACAACGTACCTTTGTCCTTTTCTGTACGCGTGATACCTGGCGGGGGAGATTTGGAGCATGAAATCAGGAGCAGATAAGTTAAATACAGTCAACATCATTGTTTCTTCTTATAAAACTGTAGGGGTGTAATTGTTTTCCACTATATACTCACTCATCCACCTGTTGAACTGCTTCTTATTACAAATATCTAATCAGCTAATCAAATGGCATAAACTCAATTAATTTAAATGTGTAAACATGTTCAAGATGATCCATACCACTTTTTTCAGGTAAGAAAAGTAAACCGAGACTGCAGTTGGCACAGGCTCACCAAAAGTGGACAAATAAGATTAGAAAAAGACTACCCAGTGTGGTGCCTCGATTTCTGCTGAGACTTTCAGATGGCAGGGTAAGAATTTCGAAGGTTTTTGTCTTCTATCAAAGGTTCAGACAGATGGTGGATAACGGTCCTCGGGCCTAGTTTCTTGACACACCTTGGGCATCTTAGTACCAGTTGAATATCATGTAAACACCCCAGCTTACTGGACCATGTACATGTATTGTTTGATAACAGCATTTTGGTTATTTTGTAAGTGATTTAAGTGTTAGCCACATGTTTAGTGAGAGCTGTTAATTATAGATTTAATTTTCTGCCAAAAGGGAGCATTTACCAGGTATTTTTCATTAGAAAACTGCATTTCCCAGAATCTATGGGCTCAAAATGTGGTCATAAATATTTTGTACTTGTAAATCAGGATTTGTATGTGTAAACAAAATTTGTGTGTGCGTAAAAAAGATTTGTGTGTGGACTTAGCCAAAAAAAACCCTGCAAGTTACAAGTATGAATTTTGACCCTATTTTTCTTCCTTTCATCTGATTGGTCAATGTCATGTCAATCACAAATGTAACAATCCAATCAGAGAACAGATGGGTTTGGCTGTCAGAGGGGCGCTTTTTTGAACCGGTTACTGTGTTCACCAGATATCAACACAATTTCGATCCGCTCCTCACGTGTTAACCTCTTCAACATGTCAATGGCTGTGAACAAAGAGAAACTTGTAAATAACTCATGAAAGAATAAAATTATCCACGTTGTATCCAAGATGGCCGACTTCTAAATGGCCACCATGGTCACCACCCATCTTGAGGAGTTTGCCCCCTCACATTTACTAACGTGCCACAAACAGGACTTTAATATCACCAACCATTCCCATTTTATTATGGTGTATCCATATAAATGGCCCACCCTGTACATTAAGAATTTGCGGGACTCATTTAAATAATTTTCATTTCAGTTTCTCAATTATTTGAAAGCTGTTTTTGTTTCTCTGCTGATTTGCCATTATCATCTGCTTGCAGTGTTTAAGCTAGGCTTAGCTTTTTTTTTTTCTCAATTTAAAAAAATGTTTATTTAGTTTCATGTTATTTTACATTTATATTAATTTAAAGTCTGTTTTTTTGGGGTAATTTTACTGATGTAAGCATTTACTGAAAAAAGTGTCATATTTATAGGAATCTGTCTGCTTATTAAAGTAAATTACCAGGTTTGATTGAAGTTCACAAAAAAACTTAGGAGGGTAAGTTGTAAATTATAAAGCCTCAAACAAGGAGGCCACATTTTGAAGCTAGTGTGCCATAGTCGGCCTCATCACAGGTGAGGACGACTCAGAGTACAGACAGTGGACTCTGGACTTTGTAGACTGGTGTGAGCAGAACCACCTGCTGATCAATGCCAGGAAAACAAAGGAGTTGGTGGTGGACTTCCAGAGACGCAGACCCACCACACTGACACCGGTGAACATCCAGGGAGTGGACATTGAGATAGTGGACTCTTTTAGGTAGCTGGGTGTTCACCTGAATAATAAACTAGACTGGAGCACACCGATGCTCTTTACAGGAAGGGTCAGAGCAGACTCTACCTGCTGAGGTCATTTGGAGTCTTGGGAGCACTTCTAAAAACCTTTTTTTTTTTGTGTGTGTTTAAGCTAGGCTTAGCTAACAGGAAATGGCTCTAGCTCTATGTTCATCCCTCAGGTAAAAGAGTGATATCACACTTCTAATGTAACTGCTGACAATATAATACAATCCAGAATCAAAGGCAGATTTTAATTTTTGTGCTTGAGTTCACGTAATAATTTTGTTTTCCTGGTTTCTCCACAGTGCATCTTTCTTTTGACTCCCCATAAGAATTCTGTGCTCTAAGTAAAATATTTTTCCATCTCTAGTTTTTAAATGTAAAATATTTCAATTTTTTTCATGGAATCCTATTTTTTACAAATATCATCTCTGTCATCAATACTTTTTTTACTGGACTGATATGATTTGTGTGGAAAAAATAAGGCAATGAGGCCACGTAAACCACACACATTCTCCACGGTGTCTGTCAGTTATCTTGATGGACGCTGTATGTCAGCTTGTTTCCCCATAGAGAGGTTGTTTTCCAATTACTCTGACATTACTAACAGATTACTGCTTGCAAACATACCCCATGAGGCTAGTGGAACAAAAAATTGGAAATTGGAATGCGAAAAAACTCATTCCTGCAAAGAGGCATTTGGTGTTCAAAGACAGAAGACAGACAGACAGATGGAAGAGAGTCAAAATACTACTGATGTCAAAAGAAGAAGAGAACAGAGGGATTTCTGCGGCCATAGATTTTGCCTAATAGCAGCTTGAATTAAGGCCTTCCTGTTAAATTGGCCTGCTTCCTGTGAGCCAAGGCCTCATTTCCCAAAGGGACACCATAATCTTTCATTTAGTAAATACGTTAAACTATTTAGACTGAGTGCCGCCACTTCCTGTCTCTGTCTTTTTAGTCTAACTGCACTTCTTTTTCTCTTTCTAAGGCCACAACATAGTTGCTGGCAAGTTCATTTTGCATACCTCTAGTGTTTGTGTACAGTTTCAGCTCACTAGATTGCTAATGCAGCCCTCAAACTCCCCAAAGATGCTTGTGTTAGTCTGGCTATCTAGACTGGCTTTCACTTGTCTGACTGGTTGGATAAAACGTTGTTTGTTCGAGAATCACCTAAAATCGATGTCCAAGCCCATTAAAGGGAAAAAAGCCCAAGAGATGTGAGCGAGTGTCTCCATTTCATTTAAAAAAAACAAAAAACAAAACTGCATTTCCCTGCTGCTGACTTAAAGAAATGTGGAGACCACTTGCGTGAACACAAACAGATGCACAAATGCACGCACATCCTTTAAAGCCACAACCACATAAACACAGACCTAGATTGCACAGGACCACGCACAAGCTAACACAGATGCATGGAGCTCCACATGGTGACCTTTGGCTCATTTCTACAGAGCTAGGTGCCCCATCATTCTCTTTAAAACCTCCACCCACTCACACAGTGAAGATAGTGACCTTCAAAGAGTAGGCACACACACTAAAACACCGTGTCTGAAGAGATCCTGCGCTGTGATTGAGCAGCAGCTGTGCTCATTTCCTGAGGTTATGATCATAGCTGCAGAAGAACAAACTAGGAGGATATAATGACTGTGGTTTTACACAAATACACATATTTCTGACCTTCCAGGGATTCATGTTGACAAAAGAAAAGGAGAGAAAGGTAAAGCAAGATAGCAGAAGATATTAGAAGATATTAGAGTAATTGTGTTCTTAGGAGAAACGCTGTTGACAGTAAAACAAATGTGGTTAATGGAGTTTAGATTTAACACAGTGTCAAAAAGAAATATGCATTTAATTCTATTATTATTAATTATTTAATGTGTAATTTGTTAAATTCAAAGGCAAAGAGTGAAATCAGCGGCAGAACACAACCAAGTAGCTCTTAAGAAACTTAATTATATATTAGTTATACAATATCCCAGTAGCCAACAGTAGCAGGGCAATTTAGCACATTCAAATACAATTACATAACAATAAAAAAAATAGGATGATTATTGTGTTGCTGGCCCTCATATTATCTTGCATTACAAATCCAGTGTGGCGCTATCCTTTACAGCGATGCACTGTGGGTATTTGTCACTGGTATTGGTTGGTTGCTGGGTGCAAAGAAGGTGCTACATCAAAAACCTGCTATGTAGCTTGCATGGAAGACGCCGCCTTGTCTGCAAACACTCTGAGCTGTAGTGAAACTTGAAGAAGTGCAACGCAAATTAGAAACATTCACCCTTCAAGTAAAAGTTGTGCCATACCGCTGCAACCAACACATTTCAAAAGGTGCAACTTTTAAGCTTTAAGCTGAGACTTTGATGCTTCTGTTGATACCATACACGTTTACCTTTGATAAAATATTTGCAGATAAACACATATTTCAGGAGATTGGGTTGAGATTTAACATACTCTCACCTTCTATGAAGTCAGATGGTGTGTAGACTTTGCTAGCTTGGGCCTTTTCCGCTGCACTCCTGCGGTCCTGCTCAGATGAAGGCGTATTGAGGCTATGCAGAGCAGTCTCTAGGACCTCCGCAAGCTCCTCTCGTTTGTCCTTTCTCACAGGCTTCTCCTCCGGATGACGCGTCAGCCCCATCTCCAGCTGGTATACTCTTTGCAGGGTGAAGCTCTCAAATGGCACTACAGCGTACTCGCTGGGCAACCTGATGCCGAAGGTCACCTCAGCTTTTGACAGCTGGGCCTTCAGGAACTCCTGTAGGTCCGCCGGCTGGCTCTTGGCTACCTGAGCTTCTCCAACACCACCTCCTTGTGAGGCAGCGCCTCCTTCCTGCCCCTCTGCTGGGCCTCCATTGGCTCTTTTCAGGCTTTCCTGTACTCCTTTCAACTGCTGACTGCGCTCCTGCAATGCCTCTTTCAACTGAGCTATCTGTTTCTTCAAGGAGGAGATGTGGAGGCGGTGCTGCTCCTCACGTTCTTGGAGGAGCACCTGGTAAGAGTGGGCACTCGGAGGACCGCCGCTGTGGGCAGGCCCAGCTCCTCCGACCCCAGCGGCTCCCGCTCCGATCTCCGGCCTCGTGCCTCCCAAGCTGGGATGATTAGATCCAGCGTGGGGTAATATATGACTCAGTGGAGGGTCATTAGAGTATGGCGGGCTGCATCTCATCACATAAAGGAGCGAAAGTGAGCAGCAGAGGAGCACCATAAGCCCCCCGACACGGGACACCCACAACAGTAGTCCGCGCCGTAACATCACTGCACGCAACATCAAAACTCACTCCTCCTGGTTAAACCCACAGAGGTATCATGTAACCTCACACACTCTGGCCTTAATGATGTCTGACTTGTGTTTATGTTCCATCACCCGGTGAGGAGGCGGGCTACATATCAGTGTGAGGTCATTTAATTTGAATTAGGTCATTGGTTCCCAACTGCCTGAGACTGTTGTGTCACTGGCAAAATAAAGGAAAAAAAAGAAAAAAGGCAGACACTTGTGAAAAAACACTTTCGTCCTTTCTCTTGGTCCAATTAGCTCCATGGTCTGTGAGAAGAAACTGTTCCAGACACTGTTGCATCATCTGTCACTCATAAGTGACTCATCTGTTTGCTCTGACTCTCCCACTAAGTCCATGTTGTCCTCTTCCTGTCCTCCTTCCAGTATCCGAATGCTCAGCCAAATAGTCCCCTATACAAATGCGACTGATGCAGAAAGAAAGAAGAAAAAAAATTCATAGAACTCTAATCCTCAGTAGTCATCTGTTTGTTTTTTTTCCAAAGCTGTTTTCCTGACAAAGGAAACAGAAAGGACAGTTATTGGAAACAATTCTTTTTAACATTTTGACGTGCACCAGCTTTCTCTAAAAACTGGAGGGTGTGTCTTTAAATATGCACTGAATCAGAAACCGACCAGGCTACTCTGACATATTAGTTTTAGAGTGGCAAGAAGTTGCCAAACCAAGCATTGCCTCAGGACTAAAGCTCCTGGAAAACAATGTTGTCACTGAAGATATGACGCCGTAAGTAAGGGAGCGTGAGCTTGAAACTCCAGAAGTTATAGTTCATATGTGCTAAGGTAGGTGTGTGTGTGTGTGTGTGTGTGTGTGTGTGTGTGTGTGTGTGTGTGTGTGTGTGTGTGTGTGTGTGTGTGTGTGTGAGAGAGATAGAGATCAGGGAATAGAGAGGAAAATATGTATACACCTATGCAGCTATTTGTACCTGCAGTGTGTGTATTGGTATGTGCACATGAAGTGCACTGTAGTGTCATATTATTGCTCTTTATGTTTCCACAGTCATGCAATAAAGACAGTAAAGTAAATACACCCTTACTTTCTCCATATGAATTAAGAGAGTTATTATCAGCCAGGTGCTGTTGATGCAATTGATGAACTTATTGGCATAAAGCTCAGATTATGCAATGCTCAGACAAACTGCAAAAAATCAAAAAGCTACATCTCCGACTCTGCAGTCCTCATTTAACATGTTCATGTTAAAGTTAACCACAAGATGTCTGGTTTGTCCACCATTTGGCAAAAACAAAACACAGCATATCGGCACAAACACCTCATACCGAATGTCAAGCACTGCACAGTGGAGTGTTGACTTAGATTGCAGACTTGGGACCTGGGCACCTTGCAGTCATTGAGTCAATCATGAACTCTGTAGAGTCTTCTGGAGACAAATGTGAGGCCATCCATGTGACAATTTGTCAACTGGCACAAAATTGTAATGCAATAGGACAAAGAACAGCAGCAAATCTAAAACAGAATGGCTGAAAAAAAGAAAAGAATCAAGGTGTTGCAATGACACAGTCAAAGTCCAGACCTCACCTGGACTGAGGTGCCGCAGTAGGCCCTTCAAAGACAAATAAATGTATTTAATGAATGCTTGCAAAACTCAACAAGCAACATTGTAAAGAAAAGTGGTTCAAATTTCCTTTATAGCAATGTGAGAGACTGATAGCCATATAGAAAACCATTAGTTCATGTTATTGCCTCGACATGCTTCTGAATGATGGGTTATGCATTGTTGTTTTTTTCGAGGACTATATTTATACTTTCCTCACAAAAGCTCTTGAGCAGCATTTTTACTGGGATGGCTTTGTGGATAGCAACGTTAGTTGTTTGGACCACCGTTTTAGTCCCCAGATGATGAACAATAACAAATTTTGTGGGCTTGGTTAGAATATCCCATCGATTTATGTTCCGAAAGAAAAACTGTAATAAAAGTGATGATCTTATGACTTTTTGTCTGGCACAGATGGTAAAATAACAACTTGTCCCAAAAAAGGAACCGTCATCCCAAAAAGACTTGATCTAGCCATGTTAGAACATTTAGTCAGCACAAAATTGATCTTACACAACAGACGAACATTCACCGCTACCAGCCAAATGCAGATACAACCACTGACATGATCAGCACCAGACGTGCTTTGTGTTTTGTGGTAATCCAAAAACGTCAAACGTCACAAAGTAAAACTAAGTGGTGAACAACAAGCTGTAAAGTTTAAGCGATAACTCTGTACTTTATGTCTTCTGCGTGGGAAAGGTGAGCAGCAGTATGGTGTATCTGGATGTCTGAATGCAAGTCTTGAGCATAAATAGACGTTTTGTGTGCGTGTCTATGCATATATATGTTCTTGTGGGAAGGTGTTTCAGTGTTCCTGTATGTATCTGTAAATGTATCTCTGTGTATCAGTCCCGGTCTCTCTTGACTCCCCACACAGTCAGCTCTTTGACAGGACAGCCTGAAGCTGAGCGTAATGAAAGGATTAGTATATGGCAGAAGTGAATACTGGACTGTGCTCTAACAGATGGCTGAATCAGGACAGACAGGGCGTCTCTCCAGCAGGACCTCCGCTGCTGACTTAAAAAAAATGTTTGAGGAGAGGACGCTCGGGGAAAAGTGGCTGAGTTAGTGCTGGAGAGCGTGCTGCGGCTCCTCACATCGAGTATCGTCCTTTGAATTACAGAAAAAGTCCTCATGATATCATTATATGGAGCCATGGATCTTCAAAACATGTGGCATGACATTAATGGCAGTTTAATCAGTTCATTTTGGCTCGTTCACAAAAGCTTCTCATTAGCTGAGAGTTGCAGGGAACCTCCTCTAAATAATTACATTGGTTTTTCCAGATGATTTTGACTTCCTGTAGCACAGTTGCGCTCGAACTAATGCCAGTAAATGTGATCACAAGCCATTCACACGAATTACAGCGTGTGCCTGAGTCTGGCATTGTGATGGTCAATTTCCCGTTTTTACTGAGGAACAAATGCGCTGCTTTGCATTGTCAAATGCAAGCTCGTGGTGGGAGGAGAGTATGAAGCTACAGCCAGCAGGTGATTAGGTTAGCATGCAGATTGATTATCGTCAACTGAGCCATCAGCTGACTAAGGCTGGGGTGATTGTTCTCTCCCTGCGCTATTTTAGTTTGGTTCAGCTTCTTGAAACCTTTGCAAATGTACCCCTGACAGAACAAAAGTATATGTTGTCTATGGCAATGTGGTCATTCCAAGTCATAAAGGTATGTGAGAAAGATTCATCACTGCAAAGAAGGCTGGTGTAACTTTGATTTATAAGCAGAGTCCTGCAGTCAAACCGCCGAGTCCCACCGGAATGAATGAATTGATTCAGCCCTGGTTATTTGACTCCCCACGGGGATAGCCGTGGCCTCAACACAAGAACACCGCAGAGAAATAATTACAGGCATATAGTTTCCTGTTACCATCTAGCACTAAAGTAAACGCATGCTCATAAAATGTTTATTCTCACAATGTGTCTGACATGTGCTACATCTGTGCTAACAAGCTATGGTAAAATAGTGAGAGACATTATTCAGGCCTGTGAAAAAGAAAGTAGAAGCACCTTTACTTACTTAATGCAATCATTTATCATTTTCTGTGCGACTTTATCAGTCTCTCTTAAGGCTCTGGAGGAAATTTAGCCTGCTCTTCTTTAAAGCGTTGCTTCAGTTCATTGAGGTTTGTGGACATCCGTTTATGCATAGATCTCTTAGGTTTTGTGGTTTGTTCTTTTGCAGCTTTGCAAAGCTAAGCTGTGCTGCGATCCTCTTTTTAGACAAAAGACGCTGTCCTCTGGTAATCCGTCCAAACAAGCCATACTTGTTCAGTCTTTTTCTAATTGTACTGTCCTGAACTTAAACATGTAACATGCTAACTGAGGCATGCAGAGTTTGGCATGCAGCTCTTGGACTTTCTGCAGTTTCTCCGAGTATTGCAGGGTCAGGTCCACTGTGATATTGTGACATTGTGTTAACACAATGTCACAATATCACACCAGCAAAAAACCACCAAATGTTTTTGCAGAGATAGACTCACAGACACAGTGTGAGTCTATCTAATGATGTTCATTTAATCAAGTAGTAGCAGCACTTGGCTGCTACTCATCCTCTTAATTTCTATGAAAGCAGTTAAGGATAAATTAAAAGTTTGACAGGACTGCACAGAGTCCTCTGAAAAACTTTCTTCTTCACTTTGCCATTAGTTATCATTAGTCATTATGATCTCCACCTCTCTTCCACAGTATGTCTTTTGTCCCGTTTTACTCCCCTCACCCTCAGCTGGTGCGGCAGATGCCTGCCCCTCCTTGAGCCTGGTTCTGCTGGAGGTTTCTTCCAGTTAAAAGGAGAGTTTTTCCTTCCCACTGTCACTCAATGCTTGCTAATAGGTGGTCATCTGAATGCTGGGGTTTCCTTTGTGCTATTGTAAGGTCTTTACCTTACAATATAAAGTTCCTTGAGATGACTGTTGCCGTGATTTGGCGCTACATAAATAAAACTGAAGTGAATTGACATGACTGCATGTGTTTAAAAGGAGCATATCACCACTGATGCTGTTAGGATTCTTGTGTTAGCACTTCAAGCTTCAAATCCCTTAGCCAAGTAAAGCCTCAAGTACTCTATGTGCAGGTGTGGCTATAGATTCAAAAACATTTCTAACTTGATTTAAAGTTTTCGTCTGTGCTAGCAGAAAACTTTGTTGTGGAGATCCTTCAGAGACCTGAAAACCACAGATGTCTGGATCTACCGTAAATCCAAACATACTGTTTCTCAGAAAGGAAATCATATAAACTGATCAGATTCTCAGTATAAATCAATTTCAACAGCCCAAAAAACAAACCTGCCGTGAAGTTTACCACAATAGTTCCTGTGTTTTCTCTCTGCCACCGTGTCTCTTCAACCTCCACCTTTAAGTCAGTGCCTGGCAGGGCCAACACCTGATAACAGTTTCCTGATGGTTGTTTCAGTCCTCATAGTACACTGAGCTACTCTTTTGAGAAATCTTTTCCCCGCGTTTCTTTTGCAGAATGCATCAAATACATCTACAGGCAATACGAACGCTAGTTTGTTTACCAACACATTACATTTCTTCACTTTTTGAGATGTCGCAGCTGATAAATGTGCTGTCCCCATTATTAGATATGCCGGAAATAGAAACACAGATGCAGAGAGACATCCAGTAGAGAGCGGAAAAATAATCTGCCTGTCACAAAGAAAAGAAAGTAAGGACCGAGAAAAAGAATGATTTAGTATTTGGTGACCAGATATTCCCAGCAGCAGCATCTGGGTCAGCCGCTAAAATCACTTCCTCCCCTCCCGCTGCTGTTTCCTGTCCCCAGGGGATTTATGCCTGTTTGTTTCACTGTGTGTGTTTCTACTGAAATAGGCGCATCTGTGCATCAAAAATATTGTCTTCCTCTTGACACCTGTTAGAAGTGTTGTGCTCATCTTTGTGAAAATAAGTCAGAGAGGAGATAACGTGTGAGCAAAGTGTAGCAACGAGTATTGAGAGAGTAGCTGAAGCTGCAGGAGTTTGCACAGAAAGAATGAATTTCTTCTCTGTCCGTTGCCCCATTTTGTGAGTCTCAGTCACACTTGTGAAGCAAAAATCACACGCAGGTGACAGCATATCTCTGTTTGTGTGCTCCTCTCTGTGCTTCAGGCCAACCTTTAAGTGCCTGAGGCATTTGAGAAGCAACCTCGTGACCGCAACATCGCGACAAACGAAGCATCTTAATCCCCGCTGTCATTTTTAAAGAGCAGACTGTCTTTGTTGTCTCCATCAGACCGCTCTTTCATAAAAACGTATGCACTGGGAATTCACAGTATATGTATCTTTTCAAAGGGTGTGAGTGTTTGTGTGAAAGAGAGTGCAATGGCCTGGAAAATCAGGCGGGGTGGTTGTAAAGCAGAAACACACAGAAGACACTGTACTTATACTGTTCAGGATTTTATCAGCACTTTTGCACATTTAAGCTTTTTATCTCTCATATCTGCATCTCCTATTGAATTATTATATAGTTGCACTTCAAAGTTGTAGATTTTTTCATTCCTGTTCATGGCAGCCACTGTTTTCCATTACTTTGTGCATTTTGGGTTTTGATCGTTTTCAGATCTACAGTGCACATGAGGGGAAATCTTAACAGGCTCATGCCAGAACACGCTCTGAAAAAACACATTTTACTAAACAAACAAACAAGCAAACTGTTCATAAATCTTAGTCTCTGAAAAAGAGACTTCAATACTCACCCTACTTCGCATTCAGCTGTTTTCAAGATGTGCTTGTTTATACTCCCCCACAGACATCAGTGGGGATGGTGGCAGCGCCAGACTGAAGATATAAAAGGAATGCCAGCACAGATTGCATGATTATGAGAGAAAGATAGATGTCGCCAAAGTGACGTCACCCCACAGTTTGTGGACTCCCATCTTAAGCCCAGCTGTTTTGCCTAGTGCCATGTTGGGTTTGGAAAGTAGATGTGACCATATTTTCATGCTCTCAGCTCATGACAGCACTGGCTTTCTAGCTTAGTTCCTTTATCTGTCCTTCACTGTGCAATGCTAATTTTGGCAAATAGGAAGCAGCTCAAAAACAAAACCCCAAACAAAGAAAAATGGCACTCGTGAATTATTCAAAGTGGCCGCGCCCTGAGTTATGCATTCATTTTAAACCTTAAAACAATTTAAAGAAGCGGGCTAGACGTAGGGAGGCACAGTGGTGGAGTCGTTACCACTGTTGCCTCACAGTAAAAAGGTCCTGGGTTTGAATCAAATGCTGGGGGGTTTCTGTCTTTGCATGTTTTTTCATGCCTATTTATCATATCAAAACTGGTTTTGTAACAGGCTCCAAACACGCCGTCATTTAAACACTGAAGATTATAACCCACTCACCTTTAGGGAACTGCAAATTATGCCACTTCCCGTGACTTCAGAGGTCACAGCTTGAGTGTAATGACTTGACATATCAGGAGGGGCTGCAGAGCCTCTGGTCAAGTCCAGCTCTGCCTCTACAATCACACCCATGTGATTGTCTACACAGAGCCTGCACGCAACTGTTGTCTACATGTTTCAGCTATTAATTGTCACTAGAGGGCAGTGTCCAAAATATGTGTTGCAGCACGGGAAAAGGTGAGCAAAGTTGTTTTTGTTTTTTAAATTAACAATAATACAATCTAGAACAAAGGTGAGCACAGTGTAATCTGAGAAAACAGAGAATGCCGGCTGCACACAAAAACAGTCAAGCGCCAGACTTTCCAATATTTCCGAGGTTTGTTATTTTAACAGACGGCAATATCTCTCAAAACAATCTATAAAAATTTTTTTGATTACTGAACAGTTTCTGATGCATAAACTGTCCTCCAGCAGAGCTCTTGTTGGTTTTTTTGTTTTTTTGGCCAGTCAGCCAATCAAATTTGCCACCCAGCCGGCAACTTCTCTGGAGATAACTGTATGGATTGTGACTGATCGACTGTTTCTTGTAAAAATGGTAAATGGCCTGTATTTGTATAGCGCTTTACACATCCAGTCATCCACCCATTCACACACACATTCATACACTGGTGAACCTAGTGGACTTTTTTTTTTTTTTTTTTAAATCAGCTATCAATCATTAACAAATGTGCTTTAAGTGATTCATTTATCTATTTGCACTGTTACTAAACCACAATAAGAAAGAAAGGCAAGCTTCAAAGAGCGGATCCAAGTTGACGTCTTCAAGATAAAATGATAAAAAAAAATAATAATCTTTTCAGATAATCAGCGTTCAACTTGAACATATCATAGATTGCATTTCTTCACGTCATATAATCCATGTCGAGCTACATCCGGTTGGTTTCTTTCTCTGCACACAAGCAAGTTTGTGTAGGTTGCATGCCCAGAATCCTTCAGTGGGTGCAGTCAAATACCTACACAAACAGTCACAAGCACGATACCATGTGAATCCTAGAGGGGTGTACTAAGAAGCAAGATTAATGGTTTAGCTTAAAGTCAGAGTTTCCTGTGTCATGTGGCTCTCTTTTTACCTAAATCACCAACTGGTAACTTATGGTGAACACATAAGCTGGTAGGGAGCAAACTATGGTCAGACTTTGCATTAATTTCATTCTTTTATTTACAGCATTTGTTGAGTCCAATATCGATTCCTTAATGGGCGAGTACATTTACATGTGCAAATTGTTAAGCCGCTTTTACTAACGTCACAAATTAAACCGAGCTGGAAAGTTACACTAGTGCAAACTGTGTGTTGTATTATTTGGTGACTGGGAAAATGTATAAATGTTTTTATATGTATATATTTTTTAAAAAATCTGCTTCTAAGCTTCTTTCACACTGCTGGAGTTGCAGCTACCGGAACACACAACACGTCTATCAAGTCATAAAATTTATCTCCCTATATTGTGCCGGGAAGCTAACGTCTCTGTTATCAGGATACACAACCATTAATGTTTAAATGGATCCAGTTTAAAGTTTCAGGGCTCTAATGAGCAGTCGTCATCTCAGAAATAAACAGCAGCACTGAGAGGGCGCTCAGCGATAAATTAACTTAATTAAAATGTTTACCGCTCTGTGCTTTAAATTCCAAATTAACAGTTTTTTTCTCACCTTATTTGCAAACGTGTCATATTTTAATTTTGTGTTACTACTGTTCTTTATAGAATTTTATCACCATTTTATTATCATCGTCATCCCCGATTGGAGTGGGTGCACTCATAGGAATCACTTTGTGCGGAAGAAGAGCCACATGACCCGCAAAGCAGCCACTTTTATCTCTGACTGGTATTTTTCGAGCCAGCTAATACAAAGGAAGCCTGGCTGTGTTCAACTCCCTTCATAGTAAACCCACCCAGATGCAGCCGTGCCCACTCCTCCCATCACATTTGGCGCTGCAGTGAGCAAAACTAAATATTGAAGGCAAAAAATAGGAATCTCACAACACAGGCAGGCTTCCAGGGCCAGCTAGGAGCAATAGCTTTATCTACTGTATGCAAATAAATAAATCAGAAAATTCAGTATATTGCTATGCTTTTTACTGACCATATACAATTATGAGTGGTTGCAAAAAATGTTGCGTTCTTTAAATCTTCCTCTAAGTCCCATCATTTCATATACTCATCTGTAAAGCACGTTCATATGAGAGAATATTAATCCTTTAAAAACAACCTTCTCCTCCTACCTCGGCCCTTTCCTTCCATACACATAAACTGTCTGTGAGTAACTGACCCCTGAGATGTCTACAAGCAACCGTACAAACCACAGAAGCATGCATGCTTAAACTCTGCTCCATACTGTCTGCCTCTCCTTCATCCTAGCTCTGCAGCCTCTGCCGAGTGGTATACTTGTTACCGTGCAGGGCAGGGATGTTAATGTGTTTGTGTGCTTGTTGGCCTCACTGAATATCTTCTTTTCACACAGTGCTGTCTGAACCTGCCCTCTGGCTATCTTACTGGAAAATTGGGGAACATCCTCTAGGGAAGGACAGCAGAGGAGAGGAAAGGAAAGGAGAGGAGAGGAGGAGAGATTAATTAAGATAAAATTTGAAAACGAGTGGGAAAAGAAAGTGGGTGGTGAGTTTGACAACTATATCCTCAGATAACTCGAGGGGAACTATTAAGCGAGTAGATGAGATACATGCTGCAAGGAGAAAATGAAGCAGAGAGAGGAAAAAGTCAGGATTAAAAGAGCCTGTTGGAGGGTAGGAAGGTGAGAGAAAGCTTTCTTTGATGTTTCTTGTCCCCTCAGGTGATTCTCCCTCCCATTCATTAGGGGCCGGTTTCTCCGGATCCTTCCAGTCGACGTGCCATCTGGAAGGCCCTTTAAAAAAAACGAAAACAACGAAAAAGCCTACACTCCTCTACTTCACTACAAGTGTCTGTGTTAACATGCACCGTCCAACCCCGCCCCCTGCTTTCCCTCTCTTCAAGTGCTCCATTTCTTCACGGTTAGGTTAGATTGTATCAGATTAAACATTAATGGTCCCCATGGGGAAAATGGGTCATTGCAGCAGGGAATAAAGAGTGGCAACTCTTCTGATAATAAGTTAAAAAAAAAAAAAAAAATCGAATTACTTCCCAAATTCTGCTTCACTGATGTCAGAAATTTCAACCTTTTCCTGCTTTTTATGAATGTGAAATGTCCATTAGTGCAATTGGACCTTTTATAATAGGGGAATTAATGGTACAGACTAACACACTGATATCTGACGCACTTGTCCCCCCCACCCCACCCCACCCTTCCTGCCGGCCAGCAGCAGCAAGCCTCTCACCTTATTACAGGAGAGGCTCCAGCCAGTGCAACACCGGATCTGATAAGCAGTTAAGGAAAGGGATGGATGGTTATATACACATATATACAGTGCCCGCTAATTTGCCCTTTCTGAGACGGCAGTAACTCATCCACAGAAGCACAATGAAAACCGCAATCCAATTCATAGAGGGCACAGTAAGCCTCTGCATAATCGCGATGTAATATAATAAATCGTGGTTTACACAGTGAGACACTCCCGGTGTCACGGGTCTTACCGCTGTTGACGGTGACGGTTGCAGGTGGACAGTTATAAATAGATGACAACAGATTATGGCAAGACGGCAAACAATTGAAGCTGACAGAAAATGAAGAAATCCGGCGCATCCACATTTTTTTTTTTTTTTTTACACCTGCTCATCTCAACCAGAAACACCTGCAGCCCATTCACCGTTGCTTTTCTTGTGCAATGGGAAAAAAAACTAAACAATTATGAGGCAAACTCACGACTTCCCTGTTCTCCCTGAAGCCGCACACCGCAGAACAGAAATTACCATCAGACGTTTCTCAACTCTAACCTCGCAGCAAGGCTAAGGTGAAGGCTTGTGGTTTGGCTTTAAGGGGTTACAACAGGTTTCTTTAACTGCTACCAAACCAGCTCCACCATCTGCTGTTGATAATTTATACTGTTAACTGTCAGCCGGCCCTACCAACGCAGGGCGATAAATCAGTGCCATTTATGCGATCTGCATTTAACTCAATAGTTTTCTCAAGACTGGAACCATCTGAAAGAATCAAAAGACACATAGCGAGGGTGACTGTAATATCATCAGATCTCATTTGTCACTGTGCTGCAGAGATGTTACATCAGAGCATTTGAAATGTCAATGGCTAATTATCCCGCACGACACTGTTGTCTGAAATGTGAAACACGATGGTGCAGCATGGGAAAGCGAAACTGTAAACATTCACAGACGTGCACTTAACACATAAAAGCTGATGTTATTGTCACATCAGCTTCTAAAAAGTGCACACCATGACAGACCTGTAGCACACACACACACACGGTCTGCCTGCCAACCAAACTCACACGCTAAGTAATCCCTCAAGTTTCACTCTTCAAGTCTGAGGAAAAAAAACAATCTACTCTGCCAGCATGCAAACCAAATATTTCAGGGTGCTAGGTACTTGTTAGTAAGCGCACTAAGCAGGATTAGAGCCTTTTCTGTGATAAAAACCTCCAGCAGTGTGTACTGGATGTATGCGTGCGTGTGCGTGTGTGTGCGTGTGTGTGTGTGTGAGAGAGTGAGAGAGAGCAGGAGAGAGAGAGAGAGTGAGATTCAGTGGGATACTGTTAGAAAGAAGCCTACACTTTGACTGAGTGCATGTAATTTTATTATCTGGGTCTGCTCAGCTGAAATCATTGTGGGTGATGTTTTGTTCAGATCCTCTATGTGGTTTTGGTCTGGAGTGACCTTACACATGAGTCACTGATTGGACCCCGTCAGTGATTAGTAGCTATTAAATATTAGTGTGGGATGGATGAATTAAATGTCAGAAAATGCGCTGCTGCAAAAACAAACACAAGTTAAATTCAAAATTGTGGACACATTTTTGCACGTTTCTTTGCCTCTTCCTGATATCTCCATAAAGCGCATTAGGGGGGGGAAATGACCTGATAAGTTGGGCGTAATTACGCACAAAAAGTTGATCGCTAAACCCTGTAATTACAGACAATCCAAATATAAACTAACAATTTGCACTGATAGGTGAGAATAACTCCGCACATGTTCCCTATTAAAATATTAGGCTTTTGTTATTTTACAGTACGGCTATCGACAGGCTACATCTGTATATCAGCGTCCTCTCATGCGGACAACTTACCTCTTGTCCCAGCAGTCGTCAGTCCGGTCCACTGTGAGCGGAGCGGAGGTTTGTTTAGTCCCGGTGCTGTGGAACCGTCCTGCAGCCCTCCACCGGTCCACAGACGACTCTACGGTTGTCCAGGAGCGGGTGTGAGCGTTTGTACCGCGGAGCAGCGAGAACAGCACCGGAACACAAGAAGCCTGCTGCCTTCACAATAAAATGCACTAATTATGTATCAAGCTTTGCTAAAGCTTTTCATCCAAGCCAGTTACATTAGCTTAAAAAGAGAAATAAAAATAAAAGCACTAAAAATGGAAAATAGTGTAGTTACCTGCATTTATTCAAAGCTCCCCAGTTCATATTAGTTATTCGATTTTTGTTCAATTAAACCACAAATCCTTAAAAGCAACAATTTCTGATAATGAAACGTGGTTAAGAGTAGAAGTGATACCAAGTAAATACAGGGCCAGTATTGGCGATGCTGATCGATACTGATACTTTTAACCCATAAAGGAAACTTCTGGGAGAGCAATGTGTCATGATTTATGAAATGAATCATGATATCATTTTTGCAACTTTTGAACACATTATAATGACCACCAAATCAATGTAATGTTGTTGTTTTCATTTCCAAGAAAACGACTTATTTAATACAGCCCAGTGGGCTACATACTGAACTTAAGCGTTAAAAACAAAGTACTGATCCGCTAGTAATTAGAGATGATGTGGCTTGTTGCCATCATGATTGGAAACTGGAAACCAGCAACAACTTAACAAAAAACAAACAAACAAAAGCAATGAAGCAATGAAGACTGTGTCCCAAACTACTGCTTTTTAATTGAATGGTGATTAAAAAAAAAAAGAAAAAAAATATCCCAGCCAACTGGGGAAATTGCATTTAACATAGGGTAACTTTCCCCATTCCTTCCCCTCAAGTTGTCTTGTTTGCAGTACAAAATACTGGCGATCTGTTTGCGAAAAGTCTCATCATGCTCCTCTGTTAGTCGTCCACTTACTTCTTTGTGCCTTAAGTCATGTAAAAATCAGTTTAACAGTGAAAGGTTGGAGGTTTTTTCAAAGATGAAATTATGAAATATTTATCAAATCTCACTGTACATTAACCCCCACATGCAATGTCTACTTGTTTAACTTTACCCTTACTATTTTTATTCCGTCCATTCAGTGAGAAAGACATTGTTAGTCGCTCTCTGTGTTCTGTGTGTTTGGAAAACCAAAAAGAGTTCGTATTGCTGTATTGTTTGTTTTTCTTATGATATTGCTCAAAACAGGAAAACAATCTGTATATTCCTGGCACTACTGTAGTTTTTTTGTTTTTAAACTCAAGAGCTCTGATAATACAAAAAATATTTGTCTACATTTTCATTCATCTTTCCATGTATACCTTTCTGGCCACCCTATTATATAACTCTTCAGAAAGCTTTCTCCCCATCATGTAATTATTAATCTTACTGACTTGCCTCAGGTTTTTAAATCCGACAACTTTACTGATTAATGAATAATCTGAATGACAGCAGGTTAAATCTAGCAACAACCTTGGAGGGGGG